TGCTTCCAGGTAATACCTCGGGCGGCGGCGTAGTTGGCGACCTACCGGGCCTCGAACTCACGGGCGTCGGAAGGGTCGAGAGGCGGACAGGTGCCCAAGTTGTGGGCCAGTGGTGAGAGCATGACCGAGTCCGAGAGGGCAGCTTTGTCGTGAGCCGTGAGCTGCTTGCGCTTGTGCACCTCGCGGTGGAGTGGCAGGGTCGTTGCCGCGGCCTTAGTGACCTGGTGGACGACGTCGATTCACGGCGATCCATCGTCGGTCACCATCGTGCCGAGGAGGCGGTGGTGCCTGACGATCTCCACGACGCTGTCGGCCACTGGCACCTTGATGCGCATGGACTCCCGCTGGTAGAAGGCATCCTTGTGGACCTTGTGGCCAGGCCCATGGAAGCTGATCAGCGCCTTGAACTTGGCCAGCTTGAGCTTCATGCCGAAGGTTGCGGCGGCCAGGTAAACGCTCTCGCAGATGACAGCGGTCTCGCGCTCGGCCTGACTGTGGCGGGAGAAGACGCGGTGGGTGGTGAGGTCATCGACGAACGAGAGGCCGTGGGACCCCTCTTGTAGCTCGTGGTGGTGGTCGCCGCCGCCGTCGCACTTGAATGCTTCTTCGCCCACGTGGTTCGCGGCGACGGCGACGCCCTTCTCTCGAAGGAGGGAGGACAGCATCCCGTGGACCCTGGAGAAGCAGATGTTGAAGCCCGCATCGGCGAGAGGCGCGCCAGGCCTCGTGCCTTTCCTGGGCATCATCACCACTGAGCTGCGCCGATGCGATGCCCATCGATTGCGGTGTCTCTCGGTGACGAGGGCGGACAAGCGGGAGAAGTCCGCGGCGTTGTCGAGGAGCCCAGGGGCTTCGAGGAGCCGCTGCAGCTGCGGCACGATCCAAGCAGGTACCTCGACGCTGTTGAAGACATCCTCGAATTCGTGCTCCTCTCCAGGCCTCTGGTGGATGAACTGCAGCAGCGCGGTGTAGTGGCCCTCCTGGAGGTCGTGCATGCCCACGACGCAGGAGCGCCCCGGCCGTTTGGCCCGCTCCATGAAGAGCCCGGTTGCGAGGACCGTCATATCTGCCCCGCGCTTTGGCCAGCCTCCCGTTTGGATGTCTTCCAGTATTTGGGCGAGACAGCTGTTGAGCACCGACCGCAAGAATTTGTAGTGGTGTTTGCCCAGTACGTTGTTCAAGAGGACCTCCCTGTGGGCCTGCAGCGTGCGCTCGTCGCCCTTGCCTTCTGGGATGGCGGCCACGGCTCCTCCCTCGAAGGCAAGCGGTTCGCGGACCGTGATTGCGGCCTCCACGCAGAGCGGGCGCAGCATGTCGGCGCATTGGCGGGGCGCTGTGCGCAGCAGGGCGTTGGCGAGGCCGTCTGGCCGGCCCTGGGGGCCTGGCGCCGCCGAGAGCATCTGGTGGCAGCACGCGTCGTAGGGCATCACCGCCTCGACTTGCAGCGCGCCCTGGAAGAACTTGCACTCGCTGTCTTGGTTATACTTGTCGGCCAGCTGCTGGGCCGCGATAACCTTGCCCGCCTGGGTGGCGGCGAAGCGGTGCATCTCGCGGCTAGCGATCTCATCGGACGCGCTCAGCACTTGGCTTTCTGGACCTAGTCGGAGCGGAAGGCCCGCCTTGTAGCGCGCCTTCTTGCCGCCGAAGCGCAGCAGTGCTCGGTGCTGCTGCCATTGCCGATAGGCGTCGTTCTTGGCTTGGGCGCCTTTCGTTGTGGCGGCCGCCCCAGCACACTCAGGTGAGAACTCTTCCACATCTGAGTGGCCTTTTCTTCTCCCCCCCTTCCGCGGCCGCCTCGTCTGTCCTCTCCCCTTTTCTGCACGCTGGCCAATTCGTTTCTCGGTGCCCCCGTTTAGCTTTATCGCGGGTGCAGCCATTCTGCCTCGCCGTCGACGAGAAAGTGCGCTGGCTCGCCTACTGCAGGTTGGCCCTCGGCTGATTCCCTGTTTGCCCAGTGCATGTGGCTGGGCACGATTGGTGCGTTTGGTTCAAAAGTTGCCCCCAGCAAAGCACCCAATGCTAAACAACGGTGAAGAGGCGTGACAAGTACGAGAGTAGCCGGGACAGAGGCGGGAGCACGGCCATGCACCTTAGTAAGTACGTTTGCAGGGGATCGTGCCAGTCTGGACCAGACATGCAGTTGGCATTGAGGCGATAGCACGGCCATGGCATCGAAGCGTATGTTTTACCAGGGATCGTGGCCATTTGGACCCAGTTGCAGCGGGCATTCAGGCGAAAGCACGATTCTTGAATAAAGTGTGAGGAAATCTAAAACGAAACGGTTGCCGGCACCTTGCGGTCTAGGGTTCCCCGTCTTCCCTGTGGATTTTTTCCGTGTGTCTTGGAACCTTCTAGCCAAGCGCCGTGAGAGAAAAAGCTACACCGGCAGGATGCAGGAGGATGTCAAGGGAAGGAGAGAGGCAGAGCACGAAAAGGAGCTCGGAGCACAAGGAACAGCGAGAACGAAACGGAACAAGTCAGGAGGGAAAGAAACACACAGACACAATTAATCGTCGACTCCCAGGAAAATATGCAAAAATATGGGAAGTGGTGGGGACGACAAAAACCCAGAAAATATGGGAAAATATGGGTGATATTTTTATTTGTGTGTATTTATTTGTGTGTTCCAGTTCCCCTTCAACAAGACGAGGGCAACGGAATGCGACGGCGCGAGAGGCTAAGGAGACCAGGGACGAGCCACGAGGGCCGCGGGGCCCACCTCAGCGAACAGACCCCTCCCCCACGTCTGGGGCGCGGCGGGGCGGGCGGCACCGGCGGCCCTCTGGCGGCGGCCTCCCAGGCGGAGCTCTTCGGCGAGCACGTCTTCCGCGAGGTCCGCAGGCGCGGGGGCGTCCCTGACAGCTTCGTCGACGGGGGGTGGAGCCTGGAGCGACTGAGCAGCGGCGGCGGCAAGGGCGGCTCGCTGATGGCGAAGGCGGCGGGCGGGCCGAAGACCGCCAAGGCTCGGGGCTCGAGGCCGGCCTGCGGGGGCCCTGCCTGGAGCGCGCGAGGGCTGTCTTGGGGCTCGGCGGCGGGCGCCTTGGGAGCGTATGGGGCGGCTCGCGGGACCCCGAGCGCGCGCGGAGAGGCCAGGGTTTGAGGCGTGGGATGCCACGGAAGGGTCTGCCCCGAGTGGGCCAGAAGCGGCTCGAAGCGGCCAGAGTGGCGCAGCAAACCAAGCTACCCGCATGAAGAGCCCAGCCCTGGTGCATATGGGGCCTCCTCTTCCTCCTCCTCCTCCTCCTCCTCCTCCTCCTCCTCCTCCTCCGCCTCCGCCTCCGCCTCCGCCTCCTCCTCCTCCTTCTCATCATCATCATCAACATCATCATCACCATCATCATCATCATCATCATCATCATCATCATCATCATGATCATCATCATCATCATCATCAGCAGCAGCAGCAGCAGCAGCAGCATCAGCATCAGCATC